GAATTCGTAAAACACACACATTTTGAGATATAATCTTTAATGCGTAACCTCCATTATTTGTTTCTAGGCCACTCAAAAGAATTCGTGCAAATTATTATACTAAATTCTTCTAACGTTTTTGAGAAACAAACGCCGCCCAACACACACACACACACACACACACACACACACACACACACACACACACACACACACACTGTGTGTGTACGTGTGCGGGTGGGTTGTTGTATGTTAGCTCACTTTATCAATGATTGTTTTAGTTGAAATTGTTTTCATTTAACTGTATAGCACGTCTATATTCCATCTTGACTTCTTTTCTGATTGAAGTTACAATCGACATAATCGTATTATATATTCAAATATGTTGAATTGAAAAAATGTTAAAACATTCTTATATTTAACAATGTTAAGCTTCATGTGTTCATTTCTGTTTTTCCCCAACGCCCTAGCCACATCACCAACTCGGAAACAGTATCAGAACCGTCTCGAAAACTTGGCAATCACGTGTAGCAACAACACTTGCAAACGGGAAAACGATTGTGATACATTGCATTAATCATCGCGAGGGCTGCGAAATCTCGCGATATATATTTTATCAGAGCCGTCGAGATCCTCTCCCTCTCGACAGTCGAAACGACGCGAATGGGTGCGTGCGCGACGCCGGTGATGCATTTCCCCGCCATATTTATTTGCCCCCAAACCACGACCAATCAATTACCAATACGTCTGGCGCGCAGAGAACAATCGGTTATCTAAAGTGCTCCTTCGTTACGGGGCGGCGGCGGCGGGCAGGGGGACGGGAGTGTAGGCTTAAAAAGGTCCGTCATTCCCGTCGCTGGGTCTGACGTCAGAAGCCGGGCGCTCCCTTCAATCTTAATGCTTTTCTACTCCAGATAAATGCTATCAGCCAGCCCGCGTCCCAAAGGCCCATATCGATGTTTGGAGTGCCTGAGATGAGTAATCGCCGCCACGACTGTTCAATTCCATTTGCTACGCTTTCTCTCCGCTTTTCCGCCCTGCCTCCCCCACTCCCTCCCTCTCACCTCCTACCCGTTTCCGCCCTCTCTTTCGTTTTTTAGCAATCGTCCCCTCTCCCCGCACACTCTCTCCCCCTCCTCCGTTCAGCCAGCGCTCTCGCGGAGTGTCGTCGTCTTAAAAATCTCAGCAGCAGCAGCAGCGGCGGCGGCTAAAATAATTTATTTTTCTCGCCCGCTGGAGTACAATATCAAAACAATTTATTTCTCCCCCATTGCCCGCCTCGGGCGGAGGCGGTGGCGCCGCTAGCGGCGGCGGCTGCAACTCAATTTTCCGGCTGAGAGTCGCCGCCTCTGCGACTAATATTCTTGGACCCCGCACCGACTGCCTGTGAAGGATACGTCAGCCCAGCGACACCGTACCGGGGGCCGGATAGCCAATTTGCAGACTTCGTTAGAGAAGTAGACTTCTGAAGGGGCTTGGCGAATTGGGCTTGACGAATTGAGGAAAGAGCGTGCATAGAAATGAAGGAGACTGCGCGTTTCTTTGGTATTTGCGAGCTCGCCTATAAATACCCAACGCATGCCCAAGTAAGAGCGTGTAGGCGGACGTTGTTTGTGATGAAGACATCTGAAGGGACTTGACGGATTGAGGAATTTAGGAAAGATCATGAATAGCATCAAAGAGCTTTGTATGTTCTGTGGCTATTACTAGAACGTGCTGGCGACTTGAAGTAGGAGAAAGGATGCAGACATTGAGAAATTTAAAGGGTTTGGCAAACTGACGAATCAAGAACAGAGAAAACAAAAGTGAGCCCCTGTTATTACTAGAACAAGTTTGTCTGTGAAAAGATAAAGGACATTTGAGTGAGAAAGTTGATTTCGTTGAATGGAGCCCAATGAGCTAGACAATTAGGTAAATCAAGAAAATAGCGTACACAGATACAAAGAGCTTTGCTTCGTTTCGTTGGTTCTTAATGAGTGATGTATAAAACTCCACGGCAAATTTAAGAGAGCATACATGCATATTTTATTCATTTATTTATCTTCAGAACAGTAAGTTGCGCCGTTTTGAGAAATATAAAAAGGTTAACATATTTTCTTAAACCCCAGAATCTTCGTACCTTCTCTTTTTCTACGCATAGAATAATTATAAGATACCGGCGAGCGTTGTATCTAACATTTGTAAATACAAAATTTTCGTACTCGGGTAAAATATTTTTGTGCGGTAAACGAGCTATAGTTTTGATTGAATAAAATTAGGAACTAAATGACTTAGCCCCAATTCCTCTCACATCTAGCATAGTGAGAGTTCAAGAAAATATACGCAGTTAGTGAAGCAACATACGCAGTAATGACTTATAGAAAGGGGATATCTCGACATTTACAACTTTGTGAATCGATGTTGAGTGTTTGACGTCATTTGACAGAATATTGTAAAATAATTTGTGTATTTTATGTACATTTTTGTAGTGAACTGTTGATACCGATAACTAATGAATACTCTTACGAAGGATGTTGGAATAATGGCTATTTGTATTTCATGAGAGTAAGTCCTACATTCACTATGAGTGTTTTTACTCAAACAAAACCTTGTAAATGAAGACGCAAGGCAGTGATTGTAGATGTGCTTGAGATGATGAACCGTGTATATTATTTCTGGTCATACTGTTCCTGACGATATTCCTTATATATTGTAATTTATTCGTTCGGTTTTTGCTAGGTAGCCGATAAAATGGTAAGGGTTAAATTAAGAAACAAACATATTAACTAAACAAAACATATCCATGTGTAGTGTTATTCATGTGCGCCAAGTTGATGTTCAAGCAATTGTATAAGCTTATATTACTCTCACAAGGCGACAAATTATCATTAGTTCAAAAATCAAATCCATTTAGTAGTTCAAAATTAATGAGAACATGAACTTTTGAAGTTTGTAGTGAAAAACATAGCCCTATTATTTCTAGGTGCATTTCGGTAATAGTTCTTTTCGTAACAAGGGCGCGAAACGGGTGATTCACGCACGAGTCGAATCACCTGTTGTCCGAGCATAGCTAGGACGACAGATGACTGCGGGAATCATCTCGCGCCCGTGTTGCGTTTACTATTTGTAACACGCCGAGAGCGAAACGCAATGCGTCAAGTAAAGGGATGTAAATATTCTATTAAATAACTATAAATATTCTGCTTGTACTAATGAAAATTATTACTAGTTCGTGTCGTTACACTATCCTTTGTCAATAAGAAGGAAAGACGTCAATACTAAAGACAATTGTAAATCGTTACAGAGGTATCGCACACACTTCCTGATGTTTCTCACTCAGTGAAAAAATTAGTTGCTTCGCACATGATAAACAAGCGAAAAACCGCGTTTCGCATACGGCGTGTTATAAAAGAAATAGTAATGCTGAAAGAGGAGAGAATTCATAGTCAAAAATGTACGAGTTCATTTCGTTGTTAAAACATGATCTAAAACTATAAATAGATAAAAACCAGGGGTTGTTTACAAAAAGCTCTTTTCTGAGAAAATTCTAATGTCTATAACAAGCACTGAGCTAGTTGAACGGCTACAATAAAGGTAGCCTGGAGACTACTCCACATTTTTGACCAACTGCTAAAGGAAACAAATAAATTGATTTCTTGCGGACTGCGCTTTATAATAAGTGTTATACTTTTATTTATAGTGCCGCCTCGAGGTCACGAGTTGGAAGGAGAGTGCCTTTAAATAATAGTAAAAAAATTAAAATAGTAAGGTAGCTCCCAATTGTTGACATTGTCCCCCCTCTTCATCCATATCGTGGCGCCATTTAGTTCAAATCGGAGTATAGTTACAAATTTTCTACGTTTCAAAGAAGATACGTTAGGTTAACGTGGCAAAACAATCTCCGATATGATACGGTCGATAGGATACGATGACTGGCTTCGCATTTCCAAACTTACGGCGAGTCTCCAGTCTTACAACTTACGGCGAGTCTCCAGTCTTAC